AAATCTCTACTCTGCTCCAAGTTGACAAGTGATTAGTGCTTGCCCCTACAAAATACCAGAAGAGACTGAGGAGCCAGCCTGGTAGTGGACAAACCTGAGAACTGACCTCATTTTCTGCTTACCTCACAGCCTCAGGAGGAGCAGATAGCCTCCCTTAATCACTTGCTAACAAGTCTCTCCCTGACAGGCTGGCAACCCCTGGTGCTTCCTTACAGTTGGTGGAAGGGGCCAAGTAGTAGGTAGGAAAATAGCTTTTACCCTGAGTTCCAGGGCCTGGGAAGATTACAGAGAAGCCAGTGCTATGCCTCTAGAGAGGCAGACATTGCAGACTGTTCTCAGGAGGGTCCAGGAAGCAAGCCGCTAGCCTTCTTGGTACAATCGACATCTACCAGCATTGGTTTGCACAAATACCATAAGTATTTCCCTGAACCAACATGCCTCATTTTCTCTAACATTCTTTAGGTATTCTTTGTAGTTGGGATTCTGACAACAAAAAAGTTTACAAAATGGAAAATATTTGTTCCCTAAGGAGCGAAGAAACCACAGCTTAGGCGTTGTAAGCACCAAGCCCGCAGCTACCTGTAATTCCAGATCATGACAATCAGCCCGCAGATTAAACATGTGCTATTTACAATAACTTATTTTTTACATTCCAGATGAGCTAAGCATGACTGTAATCTCAACATTTTAGAGGCAGAGGCAGGGGGATTGTTGCCTGGGCGATGTAAGGAATCCCACCAGGGCAGCAAAACAAGATCCTCTTTCAAATAATGATAATAAATAAATAACAACAATAAATCTCACTGAATTGTTGAGGTAAGAGAGCTGGGAAGCTATGTATACATGCTTATTCAAAATGCTACCTTTCTTTCTCCAACACCTCCCTTCCATTTCCCTCCCATAAGAATTAGCAACTGCATGACTGATCACCTGATCTTAGAGTCAAGTAGCCGTGAGGAGTCTAAACTATGGATCTGGTGGTGTCTTATCAGTACCAGGGGATCAGCCATGAGAGTTCCATGGACAAGGACCTACCAGGACTATCTCCTTGAGTGGGTCTCACCATTTTAGTGAAGTGCTACCTTAAGGCACACCCCTTCTTTCTTCTGTGTAGCTGTAGAAGCAGGGTACACGTTCTGTTCCCTCATTCGGACCTGTCACTCTGCCCGTAACTGGAGAGAATAGATGATTGTCTTCTGCTTCCTGACTGTGTATTCAATGTGACTAGCGGCCCCATGCTCCCACCCTCATGCCTTCCTACGTTCAAAATATGAAGATAAACGAACTCAGTCTCCCATTACATAAGTAAACAATGGCAAACAAGGAGAATAGCATTCAACTTACAGAGTGTTGGGACTGAAGAGGTGGCTCAGCAGTTAAGAGTGATGGCTCTTCTTCTTCATGTCAAACTTTTGAGCCCCTGTAACCTTAGCTTTGGGAGAGCTGAAGACTCTAAATTCCTCAGGCACATACTCACACACAGACACACTCAAATAATAAACACAATAAACCAAATCTTTAAAGTTTTCTCGTGGAGCTTTATGTCCCGTGCCTTTGAGTCTTCTACCAAGTCATAAAGCCCTTTTATTCAAACTCAGAGTGATGTTTTATTCTAGATCCAAGAGGCTTCCCCACTGTAGAAGCTGCTTCACTCCCTTTGACCTTCCTGGCAACAAGAGGCCAGTCCTTCATCTACAGTCAGCAGAGGAAGATGCCATGCTAGCCAGGAGTTATCCTCTTCCAAGAAGAGTGAAGTCTCTGTCTAGCCTACCCCTCCCCATTGGGTTCAAACAGACACCGAGTAGTCGTTCTGGAGTGGTATCTGAATACATTCCAACAACACATGTTTATCTCTAAGGTCAGCCTTTCCTGTTGATGCTCCAGAGGCCTATAAGCGGGGGAGGGGACTAATGGTCTCTACAGCCACAGGAGGTGAGGAATGAGGGCAACAGGAACACGGCTCCACCCTTTGGGAGGACGCTATTATGCTGAAGTTTCTAGAACATGTGCGGCCATGTATCTCCCAGCTCTTCTGTCGCCAGTGGAAATGAGAAGTTGGGAACTACCTCCTCCATAGCCAAGCCAGGACTTGGCGGGTGGGAACCTCTCAGGTGGGGCCACAGGATCTGAAGCCAGGAGGACGGCAGGATTTCCATTGTTTAGCAGGGTGAGCTCTGTTGGGGCACAGCTGGCTCTACCTCTCCCTTGAAACTCCTCTATAGGTGCCAGGACCTTCAGGCTCTGGCAGTGGGAACAAGAGGGCTACCCTCCCTCACTAATCTGAGTGCAAATTCCAAGTGATTGACACTTTTGGACCCAGTTCCAGGAGGCACATCCCCACCTTCAGGAAATCTACAGACCACTATCCCCACTAGCTGGGAGCAAATGCTCACATGCCTTCTGAAGGTTCCACTTCAGCTCTAGATGTCTTTAAGAAGGATGCCTACAGCCGGTCTCAAAACCTCAGATCCCTTCATATTTACTTTCATTTGAGGGAGCCACATTTTCTCTCTAGACTGAGTTTCAGGAGGTGGGAGGGAGGGTGTAGGCTGAACCATCTGATTCCTCTTCAGCAAAACTGAATCATGTCCCCCAGCCCCCGTCCTCAGGCCAGGGATATTTACCCATGTTTATATAACCATGGCAACAGGCTTTATTCTCTATCTCTTTGAGCCTTAAACAGGGAAGAAATAGAAAATCAGTTCGTTTCCCTGCTATTGCTTCCTGCTCTGCCCCCCAAGAAGACGTAGTTTCTCAGAAACAAGGGAGGAAGAAGCGATAGAGAGAAAAAGAGAGAAGAGGAGAGAGGGGGCACGTCCATACTCTTGAATAACACAAACCTCAGTCTTGCAATGGCCCAACATCATGGAAGGACTTCAGAGTTTGATGGTACTTGTGTTTCAAAGTCCCCAGGAACCATGCAGCAACACGCATGTCTCTGACTCAACGGGAAGTCCTTGTGTGGTATCTGTTCAGAGTATGGTTGTCAGTTATCTTCTTGCCGTCTCCATCTTCAGAGTGGATGGAGTGTGTGCAGACCTTGCTAACAGTGCATTCTTCGTCTGCACAATGGGGTAATCACTCTTACGTCTTGGCTTCTTCACAGGTGGCCATAGAAGGGAGTTTTGTGGGGCTGGAGAGATGACTCAGGGATTAAGCGTGTTTGCTGCTCTTCTAGAGGTCCAAGGTTCTATTTCTAGCCCTCAGAGAGGGTGGATCACAGTCACCTGTAAACACCAACTTCGAGGGGGGTAATCTGTGCCTTCTGTTGGTCTCTGGGGACACCTACACACATGCGGGACCCACACAAATAAAAACAAATCTTTAAAAAGGAAGAGAGGTTTATAAGGAGTGTGGCATGGTAGACTCACAGAGGTTTAAATGATAAGCAGGAGAAATGGGTACCCAGTAAAAGGAAAGCATGTGTTGTCAATAGTGTAGCCCAAGAGGACTAGGTCCTTGTCAAGAGATTGGACAGCTTCTCCTGGCATTTCAAGCACAGCCAGTATCCTAAATTCCGAGGGAGGTTCATGCCCAGGTTTCAGGGATGGAGAAAACCACAGATCTGCAAATGTTTACGGAGTTCCTTACAACAGGCTGCTGTTCTGCCGGCTGAAGGTCTAAGTTGGCAAAAAGAAAAAAAAAAAAAAAGAGGCCCTTGGAGTGGGGAACCCGCCTCCACTCTCAGGATGGTCTCGGTGGAGGAGAAAATGTACACCAGAACGTTCCTTTCTGACCCACGGGGGCAGACTAATGGACCCATCAAGACAGCGATGGGAACCCATTTTAGGTTCCCCCTGGAACGGGAAACTTTTGAACAGATTTTCAGCACCCTTCTGCCTAATCTTCTGAGTGATGTGTCACTTTGAAGAGGAGTGTGAAGGGAGGGAGGCCGGGAGTGCGGTCACAGTCACCAGGTTTTGCACCTACCCCTCAACCTTCTGCAGACGCGATCTTGATTGACCTCTAAGGAACGCCAGCAGTGTCTGTCTTCTCCCTTGGCACCTTCTCTTGCGTCCTTTTGGTTCTGTCCCATGCAGCCCACCAAAACTTGCCAGGAGCAAACTTTCCCCTATTAATTATCTTGTAACAACGCATAGCTAATTGCCCTAATTACTCTCGGCCTCTGCTACACCACCATTGGCTTTTGCTCACCAAGAGCAACTCAAGTTGGGCAAGCGGCCCGGAGGCCTGCTTAGGGAGTCCCGAGTTGGGCTAGCCCGAAGAAACATCTCACCTGCTATGCCCCAACTCCACCCCTTGGGTTCAGTAGGAGTTGGTGCATCTTGGGGGAGATTCCTGTCGACTACAATCAGAGCATTTTCAAGTCCTCCCCTCCTCTCGTTCAAGAAGGCCAGCACTAGGGATTTTTTGGGAGGGAAAGGCCTGTTTTCCCACTGTCTGCCTCTCCTCTATTGAAAGCAGGCCCCATGGCCACATTTTTATCTTTCCATTAAAACTCACTTTCTGAAATGACGACCCTTGCATTTATTCCTTGCATTTATTTGTTTCATACTTCCTTCTCTCCCCACGATAAAAGTTCTGGAAGGCTGAGACTTTTCCTCTCTTATTCACTTTCTCCTGGTCTACCATTTTGCGGTGGGCACAGCAGACCCCCTCATGAGCTGACACCTAGCGAAAGTCCCTTCCTTCCTCCGGCCAGCGAAGAGGGTGGGGAGGAGATGAAGTGGAACCGTGCTTCCAAGGCTCTCTTGGGAAAGAAAAGGCTTCGGAGGGACTTCAGAGGGGCAGCAAAGGGGAGCTGTTTCTTCTAGAAACCGAGTTCAATTAAAATTAAACACTGGGACCTTTCTCCCCGAGCCAGATATCGAGTTCTCGCCCCTAAAACTCCGTTCTTCCTTTCTAATGGATTAAGACTTCACTGGGGGGCGTTGTCAGTCTGAGGTTCCACCTCCCGACAGAACCCAGAACCCAACCTCCGTGGGTCCCCCAGTAGTTGCTGCTGGCCGCGGCAGGGCCGGCGACAGACCTACTCAGGTCGCCCAGCCCGCGCCCCTCGGGCAGCTCTTCTCATTGGTCGAAGACACCCCTTCTGATTTCTCATTGGGTGCTGCACTTTTCCTCCACCCCCAACCCGGACCGCGAGCGGCAGCGGCTGGGGACGTCGCTCTAAGTCCCCACGCTGGAGTAGAGGCTTGGCTCTGCTCGGCCAGGGACGAGGAGCGCACTGAGAACTCTACTTTCTTCTGAGCCCGAGCCCAGCAAATGGGCGAATGAGGAAGGGGAGCAGGGACATGGATTGCTATCTGCGTCGCCTCAAACAGGAGCTGGTAAGAATGGAGCAGGAGCTGGGGGACAGGGAGGGCTGCTCCACCCAGACCTAGGTACCTGGCCTTGGCCCCACGCTCCGTGCACCAGAGAGGCGCGGAGGGGAGAGGAGAGGAGATGCCAACTGGTAGGTAGACGCTATAGGGCCGTCGCTCAGAGGCAAGAAACTTTGGCAAAGATTTCTGATGAGATATGAACAAGTAACAGGGAGTGAGGGCAGCTAGCCAGGCTGAAATATGACAGAACAACCGAAGAAGAAAAGAGGGGCACACCCAGAGAGGACAGGCACACATATGGAGTAAGGCTCAAGTGCCCACAGTTGCAGGAGCGACAGGCATGTAGCCGGCCCTGGTGCTCGGGTGCTGGACTCTTGCAGCGCGCGGACAGATCCCTGTCCTGGGCAGGAGGTCAGGCTGGACTGCTCGCTCGTGGGGAGCTGGCACCGCCCGGGGCCCCCAGCTCTCCTGGGCTTGGCAGAGCTGGCGCGGCTGCGGGGGCAGGCTTGGCCGGCTGTCTGCCCGGGCTTGTCTGCCAGCAGGGAGGGGGGTGGCAGCTGTAATGACGGGGGAGGAGGGGCGCTGCCTGGCAGATCGCGAGCGGGAGTTGTGGAAGCCCGGACAGATGTCAGGTCTGGGCTTGGGGAGTGTGCGGGGCCCCGGGGTGCTGAGTGTGAGTAGGCTACCCAGGGGAGGGGGAGTGAATCACCTAAGAGGGAGAAATGCCTGCTAAGGCTGTGTTGGGGAGGTCAGGTTGAGTCTGATTTCATGCACGCGCGCCTTCTCTCGCTCTCCCACCCTCACCTTTAGTGTTCCTTTACCACCAGGATTCAGGCATCTTGTCTCATCTCTGACCTTCTCTTAGCTCCCTCCTCTCACTCCAGCTCTCCAGGTCTTGTTTATTTTGTCTCTCACGGCTGTAGGCTCCCCTGTCTCATTTTGCTACCCTCTTCTTACTTCGTTTCAGAGCCAGGTCACCAGGCATCCAACAGCAGACCTGAATCCAGAGAGCTAGCTTCCAGCTCAGGCCTCCTAGGATCCTAGGAGAGCGCCTTTCCATTTGTGTCTGTAGAGGCCCTACTCTGCCTGCCTGGCAGTGTGTTAGGGGCAAGCTTTGGTGGTAGAAGGGTGGAGGAAAGGGGCTGAAGTAGCAGGTGTTCCTATTGATGCTCCCTGACCAAGATACCCTGGCACTAGTCAGTCCTATCCGTCCCAGTCCATGTGTCTGTCTTCTCAAGTTGCTGTTCACTCCCTTAGTTCTTCCTCTGGAACCCTTTCTGTGATGCCACTCAGATATGAAAGTCACTGCCTCCCCAGAAATATTTCTTTGGTGAGAGCCAAAGGGTCCAGTGATGCTCTTCGGAACCTATACCATGTACCTTATCAGTTTTTATATGCTGGTCACGCTAGTTCAGTATGGTGGCCCTGGCCCATAAATATCCTGTGCTCATGTTCCCACTTCATGTGGCCAGTACCAGAAAGAAAGACCAAGATCATTACAGACAATGGCTGAGGATCAAAGCCCATGTTGAGAAAAGAATCTAATAGGATCCTCTTTGTGCCTGGAACCTGGGACCACGCCACCTACATGAGCATCTATAGAGAGGGTTTGTGGGTGTTCCTGGCATGGAAATGAATTTTCTAAATCTTCACTGATTTGCATTTTTTTTTTACATCACTCTAGGTGGGAGGTGGTGAGGGGAGGAAGACAGTCTGTGGATGTCAAAAGAATTTAAAAAAGAAAGGAAGGAAGGAAGGAAGGCAGGAAGAAATCTGCACTGAGCTGAGCTCCCAGATTTTGATCTGCAAACCCTCCACCAAGGCCTTGAGCCCCTGTGCTTGGGAGAAGGAAAGAGAAAGGCTAAAGTCACTCTGCTCCCCATCGGTTTTCATTTGGCCTTTTGTCTGAGCATCTCCAGCCTTTGACTGTCTAGGAGAGGAAGCCAACTGCCTGGCCCTGGGCCCAGAATGACACTCAGATGGGGGAGTTCTTTTTCCCCGTGGTACTCTGCTCCCTCCTTAGTGCCAGCTTACTGAAGAAGGGTCCTAGCGAGCAAGCGATAGGCAGAGCCTTTGGAGTCCCATTCCCTCCCAGACACCGCCCCTCAGGGTTTAAGTAGCAAAGAAGAATCTCTGTGCCTGGGTACTGAGCAATTGGAGCAAAGAGGACAGCAAAGTGCTAGCCTGGGCCCACCCTGAGCTGTCTTCCGCCAGGGACTGTAGGGATTGAATTCCATGACTGTGTTGGGGATATGAAACTTTGGACTTCTTTAAACCCTAGGGCTGTGTTGGAGTAAGCATCACCTACAGGCAGTTTATATTGTAAGTAGGGGGCTTTTGCCCTGTGGCTGCTTCACTCCAGGCGGGATCTCCTGTCCTATCCAAAAGGACTGTATATTTCCAGGTTCTTGCCCAGGAATGCCTCATGTAATTCAGATTAAGATCTACATTTGCTTGTTTTGTTAAATTCCCTTCAGGAACATCCTGGAGACACTGGTGGGGATATGGCGGTTGCCGAAGGCAACTTTAGCAGGTTGTGAAATTGTCTTTGTCCAGGGTGTTCTGTGTTCCCCATTTTTATCCAGTTCCCTCCTTGGCACCGACAACACAGCCAAGGAAAGTTGTTCCTGAAATACGGCATAGCCAAAGCTTCAAATTTCCTGAAGCAAAAAAAAAAAAAAAAAACTTGCTTTGTAAAAATGCAGGAGGCAGAGAGTTCAGAGACCCTGGCGCAATTAAGTTGATAGCTAGAGTATTGGCCCTTTCTCCCTGCCTGGAAGGGGAGGAGGGAGGGTCGAGTTTCAGGAATGAAACGTGGCTGAAAAAGTAGCAGCAGCTGACACACTTCTTAATTGAAGGGGGGGGGCTACAATGTCCAGCACTAACCTTTCCCTCCAGCTGCCAAAGCGGGGCCTGCCTGAACATAGGCCTTGAGACCAGCTGTTCCTTACACACAGCTCTCGTGTGGGGTGTGCAGACACAGACATACAAGGGGAGCAGACATAGGACACTCCCAGCACACTTCTTGTGAGTTCAGATCAATTCTGAACAAACCAAATGCATAAAATTTGAGTGATCAGAGCTCCTGAAGTCCAGACAGACTGGAGAGGCTTCCTGGAGGAAGGAGATGTTTTAGGAAGACACTATGAAAGGCCAGCTCTAGTTGAGCCCCGGGGAAGCAACCAAGGGGCTTCTCTTTCAGAGACTGGAGAAAGTTCATTCGGGGAGCTTGCATTCCCAGAAGGCAGCTCTTTAGTCACTAGTGGCTATAAGTTCTGGATGTCCTAGCACAGGACTAAGGAATAGGGCCTAAAGACAAAATAAAGAGAAGGAAGGGCGTGGGAACGTTACCATTGGTGCACTCGAGTCTTGAGCAAAAGAGCAAATTTCTGTAGAACAAAGAAAAGCTTCTGCAGAAACATCTCGTTCTCTGTGTGTAAAGCCCACCTCCTTTTCTCCCCAGGGGAAGACAGAAAGCTTCTGGGTCAGCTGGTCTGGGATCAGCTGGGACACATGATTCAGGGTCAGGTCAACTTGAACCCAAAGCATGACCCTTTCTGGCTCTGGCACACTTGTTGCTTTTCCCATCATTAGAATGGGTTGTTAAAAATACCTCCTTCTCCCCCCACCCCCCAAATCCTGCTTCATATAGTGACTGTGAAGATTAAGTGACAATATAAGGAAAATCTGGCCCTGGACTTGAGAGTGTCCTGCTCTTAGCCTTCCAAGGACAGGACGTGCCACCGGACCCAGTCTGGGATAAACTGGATGTCAGCCTCGTCCGAAGGGTCAGACAGGTTTGCTGAGTTTTTACTGGTTCAAGGCACCAAAGAGACACCAGTACTATGGATACAAATCAAAAGAGATCCAGATTTTGTCTTCAGGGAAGATATAATTATAGTTTAATAGAAAAAGATAACATACATTGATGTTGATGTTGATGTTAAAATGCCAGGGTTGGTGTCATGACTCAGTATAAAACACTTGCCTAGCACATGGGACATCCTGTGTTCAATTTTCGACACTGATATACCGAAATGCCTAACACTGTTCAACTGTTAAAGCAACCTAATAAGTTGTATTTTTACTATTGTCTTCTCTTTCACTCTCATTATTCTCTCTTTCTCTCTCTGTCTCTCTCTGTCTCTGTCTCTCTCTCTCTCTCTCTCTCTCTCTCTCTCTGTGTGTGTGTGTGCAAGTGCATGTGAATGTACATACAGACTATTTTTTAAAATTTATTATGTATACAACATTCCTTCCATGTATGTTTGTATGCCAGAAGAGGGCACCAGATCTCATTATAGATGACTGTGAGCCACCATGTGCTTGCTGGGAATTGAACTCAGGACCTCTGGAAGAGCAGTCAGTGCTCTTAACCTCTGAGCCATCTCTGCAGCCCCATACAGACTATTTTTAGACAGGGTCTCACGACCTAAACTTACCTAGGCTGGCTGAAATTGCAGGTGTGAGCCACTATACCCAGATTTATTTTCATTTCTAGAACAAGAAAACAGAGACCGGAGAAGTTTAGGTCCTAGGCCAAGGTCATAGAGATGATAAGCAATGAGGGGTGGATTCAGACCTAGACGGTTGACTACAGAGCCGCTGTTCCCGCCTGCTCAATGGGATGTACAAGGATGTGTAGAAATGGGGATTATATGTTCTATAAGGGCATGGGTCAGTGCTCTGAGTAAGGAGAAGCAACATGAGATGCAAACGTCCTATTGTGGACAGACAACACATATGTAGAGCCTTGAGGGAGCGACGGGGACACGCACAGGGGTAAACAGCATTCCAGGACATAATGAAACATCGGCAGATGACGCAGACACCAAAGTCGTGTGGATGTTTGAAGACCATAGACTGGACTGTAGACTATACGCAGGGAAATAGTGGTGACAAACTAAAATGGAGGCCTTGAGTGTCTTGGTAAGGACTGACATTTTCCTCTGTGCACTGGAGAGGAGCATGGTCAGATATATATGGTATATCTGAGACCTAGTATA